TTTGCATAGTTTTAGATGCGCCGCACACTGGTTGCAAGCCATGCGATAACTGAGCGATTTTCGAGCTATTCTAAATTTCTCACTTATTCAATATTATTAGCTAATATTTCGGAATATGTACTTAAAGCCAAAAGTTTTTATTTTAGGAAAGGTTTACACTATTAACTAGCAAAAATTAATACATATATGCGAACCTTAACCTAAAGCGAATAATGTTTAAAAAATTGTTTGCTTTATTAAACTTAATTATTTTATTTTAAATTTATTTTAGTTGGTAAAGAATGCTTTTTTATTGGTAAATATCATTTTGGGATTATTTTAGCTATTTTAGTTGATTAATGAAAATTGTATTTTTTAATTTTATATTTGTTTAAATTTTAACATATTTCACGAAAATTTCAGCTATTTAAGTATATTAATTATAATATTCGTATAATCAATTATTTAATTTTAGGTTGTTAAATGGAAGACGAACCAAGGTTCAAAACAAAACTTATGTATAACGACAAAGAGGTTCACGGACGGATTTTACAGGCGAGACATTGATTCAAAACGTCATCCAAGCGTGTTTTTCTTATAAATTAACTAGTAATAAACGTAACAAAGTATTATAATATTCTATACTAACTACACAATGTTAAAATTTTCTGCAGATGGTTTCATCATTTGCTTTCTGTTTTTATTTATTTCTTTGTACACATAGCTTACAACTCTTATTTTAATTTTGATAAAGGAAGCCATCCTTTTATTCATCATTTTAATTTATTATTTTTTTTTTGTTGCCTAATTTTTAAATGTAACCAATCCACTTTCACTCCCTTCTCCCTTACCTTTACAATTATTCTATGTATACATACTTAGTTGATATTTGGAAAAATTCTTTAAGCCGATAAGTCTGTTTGGTTTGGACAATGCTCGACCCACTGTTCTGATTAAAGCGCTCGCGCGGCTGCCCCGGCGCTTTTCCCTGTGCCCCGGTCTCCCCTTGAGGTTTTTTGTTTTTTTTATTTATTTTTTGGCCCGTTCGCTGCGTGTTGTCCACGCATTCGTCGTCGTCGGGCCCGTCGGCTGTTTAGCTGCGCATTTTATTTAACATATCATTTAAAATTCATGTAAAACACATGTAGCTGTAGCTGTGGCTGAAGCTGTAGCTGTAGAGCGTGGAGCGTGGAGCGTGGAGCATAGAGCGGGCCTGCCCTGCTTTGCATACCGTGGGCATAAAGTACATGGGGCACAGCTACAGACAACAACAAATGCATTCGCATAGACATCACACCCAAGCGCCAGGAGCGAGCCACATCCACATAGGTCCGGCCACAAATATCCGTCCATCTGGCCGGATCGCATTCATAAGCAGGCTAAGACTCGGGTCCCCGTCTCTGTGTATCTGTGTATCTATGTATCTGTGCGCATATCTCTCAAGCTTGGAACTTTCGGTTTGGGCTCTATAAAAGTCGGGTCTGGATGAAGATGTCGATGTCTCTCTGTCGCTGTCGCTGACGCTGCTGTTGTTGTTGCTCTTGTTGTTGTCGCTTGTTGCATGTTGCATTTAATTTGTAAACAAAGTCTTTAGTTTATGACTGGCGCGTTATTTTAGCATATGCACATCTAGGCCCGTACACTGTCCCCCTTGGCCCATGGCCAGTTGGGCATTTTGTATGAAATTTGTAAACAATTCCGTGCCAGTTGCCAGTTGGCAGTCGCCTTGTTGGCATTTGGAACGCATTCACCCGCGATTTACATATTTGCCCCCAACCATCTCCGATCCAGCGGCATGGATATTGTTGCCACTGGCATTTCATCAATGTGTATGGAGCGCTGAAGGCTGCAGGCTGCAGGCTGCGCTCAGGCCTGACCTTTTGCCTCTCTCCAAAGCCTGGCAGCCATAACAAATCACCAATGACTTGGCCCGACACTAAATGCAATTTATAACACTCTTCGCTGTTCTTGTTGCTGTTGTTGGCCAGATTGTCAAACAACTTGACTTAAAGGCAAGTTAACGAGCGCTTGCTGCCCGCCTCATCATCATCATCATCATTATCATCATCATTATCATCAGCATCAGCAGCATCATCATTATCATCACCATAGTCATTGCAATGAACGACAACTTCATCTCGTGGCAGCCGCGCTGTCATCAGCATCAACACACGGCGCCCCGAAAAAGCCATCAAAAACGTTGGCTAGCACGTAAAATGCAACAAGAACTGTTATATCGCTCAAAACCAAGACAACGAAATGCGAATACTCTTGACATAACTCAACCAACGAACGGTTTAATTAATATCCTTGAGCCTTATCAACAATCATTATGCTTTCTGAAACAAGCGTGGACTACAACCAAATTTGCATTATATATTTTAAAATATATTCTAACTTGTATTCATGCTATAATATTATAAGTATACCATCCATTAATCAAATAATTAGTCATCATTTTTTGTATAAAAATGTATTACATCTCTTAAGAGTGCGTTAAAATGTTGACATATACCTTTTTAGTGTTAGCAACAGCAGCAACATTGGCTTTTAACACACTCAGTGTTGCACAAAACCGCTACACTAAATCATAATATATATTTATATTATATATTTATGTACTTTACTGATTTAGCAGTTATTAGTAAGAGGTAATCTTATAAGGAGAAAGCAAAATACAATAGCAATAGGCTAAGCAGATTTTACAACACTAGCTGCCAGAAACACTAGCTAAACAACACTTCACAGCACTACTCAAAAGCTGGACACGCAGAAAAGCTAACAATTGGCCGTCAGTTGACAGAATTTTGACTGCGTTTTAATTAAATTTGTGCCAAGTTCAAGAACGAAATCGGACTTAATTTTAGGCCGTATTTCACATTTAACAGATTGATGACTGAATCATTGCACCCCTTTTGATGCATAGGGCATTGCATTGCCTGCCCACGCCCACGCCCACGTCCACGCCCATGCCTGACGCCAAACGCCCCTCGTCCTGGCAATGCACTTGTCAGTTGAGTTTTTATGAACGCGCGGGCTTTAAAATAAAACTACAGCGCCAGGCAGCACATGAATAATGCAAATGCCAAGTAGAAGACGCGAACAGCGAACCGCGCTTAACCAAAAAACCCTTCCTTCAAAAAAAAAAAAAAAATGGAGCTTAATGCGCCATAACTCACCCACACAGACAGAGGGATATATGTTTGTAAAGTCTGCCCTATATGGAGTTGGGGGAGCTCATGCATCGGCTCTAATATGACCAGCCGTCACTCATTAAGCCGCCGTTGTCTGTCGTCCGTTCGTTGATTGTTATAAATCCTTAAAATATATACACAAATATTTATGTAAATGTCGTATATATATACATATATACATATATGTTGTGTATATGTGTATGTTTGTGTTGCCGGCGGTTATCGGAGCGCCCGGAAATTGCGATTTTTCATTTTCAGTTTTTCGGGGCGCACATCAAATTTTGTCAAATTTCGCTGGCGTTTCTATTGTTGTTGTTCTTGTTGTTGTTGTTGTTGTTGTTGTTGTTGTTATTTAGCAAAATAATTAACACGAGCCCGGGCAGACATCGTTGGCAGCAGGCCCATCATCAGAGGTCCTGCCACGTCTCGTGTCTGCCTTAAGGCAGCTTATGCCCCTCTCTCCCCTCTGTCTTGTGCATGTCTCTGTCTGTCTAAGCAGCCGCATTATATGCAACATTTTGTCGCCTTGTGATTATTTTTGGGCATTATTTGATGCCGGGACCGACAACTGCTGAAAAATGCAACTCATTTTGCCTGATTGCTGCTCAACTTGGCTGCCAGTCGGAGCACTTGCCGGAATCCCCTCGCCAACGGCTTGTGGCTTCGGGTGCTGCAGCTGCTCATCATTTGTCTTATAGAGGTCTTGGCATATGTGCACGTAATATTTTAGTGTCGCTTACTTAGTCCAGGACCTGTTTCCTGTTCCTGTTCCTTTTCCTTTTGCCGTGCTTGCGCCTGTGCCTGCGCCTGTGCCTTTGCCTGTGGCTGTGGCTCTTGCGGATGCTGTCCCAGCCCGGCAGTTATTTCTTTGATATGCATTTAATTTTTAATGGCCGCCTGAAAGTAGGCAACGGTTTTTTGCCTTTACGACTGCCTGCCACTTGGGCTAATTAAACTGGCTAAGAGACAGACAGAAAAGCTATCGCTCCAAGTGCTTGAGGCGGATTGCTCAGCCTCACAAGGCCCAAGATGCAGCAGTAGTAAGTTACAACAACAACATCAACAACAACATCAACAACAACAACAACAAAAACAACAATACATGAATTTATAGCAATTAGCTGATTAGCCTGATTAAGTTCAGACATATTGGAATTTCGAACTACTGAAACAAGGGCTTGCATCGAACATAAGTTGATATATACAAATATATAATCATGCCCAATCCTGTGGAATATAATAATCAGATACTTTTAGTTATTTTCTCGAGCAGACAATATGCTTTGCACCCATATTAGATAAGCTATGTTTGTACATTTCCTCATTTATTGCATATTTACGGGGTTTATAAAAAGGCAAATTAATTTTTGAGATCAGAAATTCAAATTCTTGTCAACAGAAATTTCTAATAATTGCTTGTGTTTAAAAAAAAGCCAAATGACAACAGCAAAATTCCCTAAAACAAACGAAACGCAATGGGAAAGTGTGGTATATATTATTTTAATATATCTATAGCTAACTGGTATTGCCCGGACTTGCCCAGTCCTAGTTTTTGCTTCAAATTTAAACCTCCCTCGTCTAAAGTTATGGCTTACATTGATATTTGAAAATGTCTTTGAACTACATCGCATATCGAAACAAAAGTTGGAACTATCGTGTTCCGCGCACTTTAGTCTCGAGATGAGAATCTCGATGCTGAAAAATGATCTTTCGAATAAACCAAATCAAATAAATTAAAGACCAATTTAAATATACATATTGTATTTTATTAAAAAATATAAAATATAATCATAGATACGTAATATCAATAAAACAATCATATTACAGATCATAGACGTTGCCCCAGCTCAGCCTAGCTTGTGCCGCAGTATCCAGCACTACGTCCTTGCCCCCCTTCTGGCCTTTACGATGTGGCCCCTCGGAGCTGCAAATTGGAAGGAACATGTGAAAAACCTATAAGGAGATGAGCCCAGTCAGCGAACTTACCGTCAATTCAACCAGGAGTGCATCCATGTTCATTGGAACCCCCAGAACAAAAGATCTCAATGTCATGGGCTCGGTGGTTTGCTAACCAGGGACCGTTGGCCATCGCGAGATTATCTCGTTTTAAGGCGACATAACTTCGCCACGTGGACTGTGAATTCATTCGATATATTTTGTTATAGTATTCTATTATGCCATCCATCCCTCTGGGCCAAATAATATCTTATTTTGTAATAATTTACCTTTTTAAAGTCGTAGGGATCCCTATTATTAATCTGCATTCAAACATTTTAAAAATCGATGTGTTGAAAAAAGTGATTGACCAAAAACCGATTCGTTTTAAAAGTCAAACTTTTTTGATATTTTTTTGGAATATCTCGGCCAAATAATGTCCGATTTGGGAATTTTATACCATTTTGGACTCGTAAGGATCAGTACTATCGATTGGTATCAAAAAAATGAAAATCTAAATTTTGACCAAAATCAACAAAATGGCAAGGGGTTACATCACGTTTTTTCTCAAATTCGGGGTCGGTTCGAAAATCGAAACTTTTTTGATGATTTTTATTGAATATCTCGGGTAAAAACTGTCAGATTTCGAAATGTTATACCTTTTTGAATTCGTAGGAATATCTACTATCAATCTGCATTCAAACATTTTAAAAATCGATGGGTTGAAAACAGTGGTTGACCAAAAACCGATTCGTTTGTTAAGTCAACCTTTTTTGATGATTTTTTGGAATATCTCGGCCAATTAATGTCCGATTCGGGAATTTTATACCATTTTGGACTCGTAAGGATCAGTACTATCGATTGGCATCAAAAAAATGAAAATCTAAATTTTGACCAAAATCAACAAAATGGCAAGGGGTTACATCACGTTTTTTCTCAAATTTTTATTGAATATCTCGGGTAAATACTGTCAGATTTCGAAATGTTATACCTTTTTGAATTCGTAGCAATCCCTACTATCAATTGGCATTCAAAAAGTTTAAAAATCGATGGGTTGAAAAAAGTGGTTGACCAAAAACCGATTCGTTTGTTATGTCAACCTTTTTTGATGATTTTTTGGAATATCTCGGCCAAATAATGTCCGATTTGGGAATTTTATACCATTTTGGACTCGTAAGGATCAGTACTATCGATTGGCATCAAAAAAATGAAAATCTAAATTTTGACCAAAATCAACAAAATGGCAAGGGGTTACATCACGTTTTTTCTCAAATTCGGGGTCGGTTCGAAAATCGAAACTTTTTTGATGATTTTTATTGAATATCTCGGGTAAATACTGTCAGATTTCGAAATGTTATACCTTTTTGAATTCGTAGCAATCCCTACTATCAATTGGCATTCAAAAAGTTTAAATATCGATGGGTTGAAAAAAGTGGTTGACCAAAAACCGATTCGTTTGTTAAGTCAACCTTTTTTGATGATTTTTTGGAATATCTCGGCCAATTAATGTCCGATTCGGGAATTGTATACCATTTTGGACTCGTAAGGATCAGTACTATCGATTGGCATCAAAAAAAATGAAAATCTAAATTTTGACCAAAATCAACAAAATGGCAAGGGGTTACATCACGTTTTTTCTCAAATTCGGGGTCGGTTCGAAAATCGAAACTTTTTTGATGATTTTCATTGAATATCTCGGGTAAATACTGTCAGATTTCGAAATGCTATACCTCTTTGAATTCTTAGGGTTCCCTACTATCAATCTGCATTCAAACATTTCAGAAATCGATGGGTTGAAAAAAATGGTTGACCAACAACCGATTCGTTTGTTAAGTCAACCTCTTTTGATAATTTTTTGGAATATCTCGGCAAAATAATGTCCGATTTCGGGAATTTTATACCATTTTGGACTCGTAAGGATCAGTACTATCGATTGGCATCAAAAAAATGAAAATCTAAATTTTGACCAAAATCAACAAAATGGCAAGGGGTTACATCACGTTTTTTCTCAAATTCGGGGTCGGTTCGAAAATCGAAACTTTTTTGATGATTTTTATTGAATATCTCGGGTAAAAACTGTCAGATTTCGAAATGTTATACCTCTTTGAATTCGTAGGAATCTCTACTATCAATTGGCATTCAAAAAGTTTAAAAATCGATGGGTTGAAAAAAGTGGTTGACCAAAAACCGATTCGTTTGTTAAGTCAACCTTTTTTGATGATTTTTTGGAATATCTCGGCCAAATAATGTTCGATTCGGGAATTTTATACCATTTTGGACTCGTAAGGATCAGTACTATCGATTGGCATCAAAAAAATGAAAATCTAAATTTTGACCAAAATCAACAAAATGGCAAGGGGTTACATCACGTTTTTTCTCAAATTCGGGGTCGGTTCGAAAATCGAAACTTTTTTGATGATTTTTATTGAATATCTCGGGTAAAAACTGTCAGATTTCGAAATGTTATACCTCTTTGAATTCGTAGGAATCTCTACTATCAATTGGCATTCAAAAAGTTTAAAAATCGATGGGTTGAAAAAAGTGGTTGACCAAAAACCGATTCGTTTGTTAAGTCAACCTTTTTTGATGATTTTTTGGAATATCTCGGCCAAATAATGTCCGATTTGGGAATTTTATACCATTTTGGACTCGTAAGGATCAGTACTATCGATTGGCATCAAAAAAATGAAAATCTAAATTTTGACCAAAATCAACAAAATGGCAAGGGGTTACATCACGTTTTTTCTCAAATTCGGGGTCGGTTCGGAAATCGAAACTTTTTTGATGATTTTTATTGAATATCTCGGGTAAAAACTGTCAGATTTCTCTACTATCAATTGGCATTCAAAAAGTTTAAAAATCGATGGGTTGAAAAAAGTGGTTGACCAAAAACCGATTCGTTTGTTAAGTCAACCTTTTTTGATGATTTTTTGCAATATCTCGGCCAAATAATGTCCGATTTGGGAATTTTATACCATTTTGGACTCGTAAGGATCGGTACTATCGATTGGCATCAAAAAAATGAAAATCTAAATTTTGACCAAAATCAACAAAATGGCAAGGGGTTACATCACGTTTTTTCTCAAATTTTTATTGAATATCTCGGGTAAATACTGTCAGATTTCGAAATGTTATACCTTTTTGAATTCGTAGCAATTCCTACTATCAATTGGCATTCAAAAAGTTTAAAAATCGATGGGTTGAAAAAAGTGGTTGACCAAAAACCGATTCGTTTGTTAAGTCAACCTTTTTTGATGATTTTTTGCAATATCTCGGCCAAATAATGTCCGATTTGGGAATTTTATACCATTTTGGACTCGTAAGGATCAGTACTATCGATTGGCATCAAAAAAATGAAAATCTAAATTTTGACCAAAATCAACAAAATGGCAAGGGGTTACATCACGTTTTTTCTCAAATTCGGGGTCGGTTCGAAAATCGAAACTTTTTTGATGATTTTTATTGAATATCTCGGGTAAAAACTGTCAGATTTCGAAATGTTATACCTTTTTAAATTCGTAGGAATCTCTACTATCAATTGGCATTCAAAAAGTTTAAAAATCGATGGGTTGAAAAAAGTGGTTGACCAAAAACCGATTCGTTTGTTAAGTCAACCTTTTTTGATGATTTTTTGGAATATCTCGGCCAAATAATGTCCGATTTGGGAATTTTATACCATTTTGGACTCGTAAGGATCAGTACTATCGATTGGCATCAAAAAAATGAAAATCTAAATTTTGACCAAAATCAACAAAATGGCAAGGGGTTACATCACGTTTTTTCTCAAATTCGGGGTCGGTTCGAAAATCGAAACTTTTTTGATGATTTTTATTGAATATCTCGGGTAAAAACTGTCAGATTTCGAAATGTTATACCTTTTTAAATTCGTAGGAATCTCTACTATCAATTGGCATTCAAAAAGTTTAAAAATCGATGGGTTGAAAAAAGTGGTTGACCAAAAACCGATTCGTTTGTTAAGTCAACCTTTTTTGATGATTTTTTGGAATATCTCGGCCAAATAATGTCCGATTTGGGAATTTTATACCATTTTGGACTCGTAAGGATCAGTACTATCGATTGGCATCAAAAAAATGAAAATCTAAATTTTGACCAAAATCAACAAAATGGCAAGGGGTTACATCACGTTTTTTCTCAAATTCGGGGTGTCAAATCGAAACTTTTTTGATGATTTTTATTGAATATCTCGGGTAAATACTGTCAGATTTCGAAATGTTATACCTTTTTGAATTCGTAGCAATCCCTACTATCAATTGGCATTCAAAAAGTTTAAAAATCGATGGGTTGAAAAAAGTGGTTGACCAAAAACCGATTCGTTTGTTAAGTCAACCTTTTTTGATGATTTTTTGCAATATCTCGGCCAAATAATGTCCGATTTGGGAATTTTATACCATTTTGGACTCGTAAGGATCAGTACTATCGATTGGCATCAAAAAAATGAAAATCTAAATTTTGACCAAAATCAACAAAATGGCAAGGGGTTACATCACGTTTTTTCTCAAATTCGGGGTCGGTTCGAAAATCGAAACTTTTTTGATGATTTTTATTGAATATCTCGGGTAAAAACTGTCAGATTTCGAAATGTTATACCTTTTTTAATTCGTAGCAATCCCTACTATCAATTGGCATTCAAAAAGTTTAAAAATCGATGGGTTGAAAAAAGTGGTTGACCAAAAACCGATTCGTTTGTTAAGTCAACCTTTTTTGATGATTTTTTGGAATATCTCGGCCAAATAATGTCCGATTCGGGAATTTTATACCATTTTGGACTCGTAAGGATCAGTACTATCGATTGGCATCAAAAAAATGAAAATCTAAATTTTGACCAAAATCAACAAAATGGCAAGGGGTTACATCACGTTTTTTCTCAAATTCGGGGTCGGTTCGAAAATCGAAACTTTTTTGATGATTTTTATTGAATATCTCGGGTAAAAACTGTCAGATTTCGAAATGTTATACCTTTTTGAATTCGTAGGAATCTCTACTATCAATTGGCATTCAAAAAGTTTAAAAATCGATGGGTTGAAAAAAGTGGTTGACCAAAAACCGATTCGTTTGTTAAGTCAACCTTTTTTGATGATTTTTTGGAATATCTCGGCCAAATAATGTCCGATTTGGGAATTTTATACCATTTTGGACTCGTAAGGATCAGTACTATCGATTGGCATCAAAAAAATGAAAATCTAAATTTTGACCAAAATCAACAAAATGGCAAGGGGTTACATCACGTTTTTTCTCAAATTCGGGGTCGGTTCGAAAATCGAAAC